AAACAAAAATACTTTCTTTCATAATACCTATTTCAGGTTGCCATTCAGTGTCCCTTAATTTAAGGCTGAAAGTAGGGTTTTTTGTAGGATAAGTAGGCTAGCAACAAATTCTTTCAGGTTTTGTTTATCTTAACTTCTGTTTCATGTTTGAAGAGCAATTTAGCTAGATAGAGAATTCTCAGTTGACAGTCTTTTTCTGTAAATATTTTGAAGATGCCATCTTACTATATTCTGGCCTCCATGGTTTCTGATGAGAAGACAGCTGTTAATCATATTGAGAGTCCCTGATACACAGTAAGTTATTTTTCTCTTGCTGTATTCACGATTTTCTTTTAGTCTTTGCTTTCATCAGTTACACTATGATGTGTCTAGGTATGGATCTCTTTGAGTTTATTCTACTTGCATTTATTTATGTACAGATTAATGTTTTTCATCAAGTTTGCTATGTTTGGCCCCTTTCTCTTCCTCTTGCTCTTTTGGTACTCCTGTTATGTGTATGTTGATACTTTTGGTGGCGTCCTGAAGGTTTGTGCAAGCTCTTTTTCTTTTTCTTCGTTCCTTTTTCTTTCTGCTTTTCAGAATGGATCATTTCTATTGACCTATCATCAGCTTCACCCTTTCTCTCTTCTGCCAACTCAGATCTGTTGTTGAACTCTTCTAAGTCAATTTTTCATTTTAGTTACTATGTTTTTCAACTCCAGGTTTTCTATATGATTTTTTAAATGATTTCCATGTCTTTATTGGTATGCTCTATTTTGTGAGACATTGTTCTCATACTTTTCCTTAATTCTGTGGATATGCTTTCTTTTATTTCTTTGAAAATATTTATAGTAATAATTTAAAGTCTTTGTCTATTAAGTTTCAAACATGGACTCCCTCAGGGACAAATCTGTTGGCTACTTTTTTTTTTTTTTGTACATGTAACATACTTTGCTGCTTCTTTGCGTATCTCATAATTTTTTTGTCAAAAACTGGGCATTTTTATTTTTTATTTTTTTAAGTTTATTTATTTATTTTTGAGAGAGGGAGAGAGAGCACACAAGCAGGGGAGGGGCAGAGAGAGAGGGAGACACAGAATCCCAAGCAGACTCCAGGCTCAGAGCTGTCAGCACAGAGCCCAAAGTGAGGCTTAAACTCACCAACTGTGAGATCATGACCTGAGCTGAAGTCAGATGCTTAACCAACTGAGCTACCCAGGCGCCCCCAAAACTGGTCATTTTAAAAAAGTTTTTATTTATTTAATTGATCTCTATACCCAACATGGGGCTTGAACTCACAACCCCCAGTCAAGAGTCACATGCTCTTCTGACTGAGCCAGCCAGATGCCCCCAAAACTGGGCATTTTAGATATTCTATTCTAATAACTCTGCTATCAACCTCTTCTACCCTCAATGTTTGTTTTTCTGGTGTGTGTGTGTGTGTGTGTGTGTGTGTGTGTGTGTTTGCATATGTTTGGTAGTTATTTTTCGCATTGCTGTTTATTTGTTTAGTTACTTTTCTCGACTAATTCCTTGGATTTTATATTCCTTGTACTATGTGGCCCCTGAGTTCTCTATTAGCTTATTTTTAAAAGGTTCTTGTTTTTATTTTTAAGCCAGGATTCCTTGGACATCACACCTGGATAAATATACTTTGGTGGTCAGCCAGTGATTGGTTGGGTTTCCTTAAATGCCTTGTCTGTTTGTCTTCCACCCTTTGACAAGGGGATCTGTGTGAGAAGGCATGCCTTCAAACTAGCCAACTTACAAGCAGCCTTAGCTTTCCCATTCTGCTTGTATAGGGCCTTACAGTCAGCCAGAAGTGAGTGACTTGGGGCCTCTCCTTTTCCAGCTCTTTTTTGGGTATTTGCACAGCCTTGAATATGTGCACAGCCCTTTATATACCTGGGAATATGTCAGAGCTTTTCAAAGTTTCCAATGGTTGTTCCATTCTCTGAGATTTCCTTTTAAATTCCTGGCCAAAGCAGTGAGGCCTCTCTGTTGTCTGCAATTTAGTCAACCTTTGGCTGCTATACTACTGAGCTTGAGAGGGAAGGAGGATGGGAATTAACTACAAGTTAAAATGTCACAGAACCCTTTGTCTCACCGAGATTCAGTAGTTTTTCTTGGATAGATGATTTTTACTTCATTCTGTGTCTTTGGTTCATTGCAAGTTTTGAAATGGTTGATTTTAGTTGGTTTGCCCATATTTTTGTTCTTTCAAAGGGAAAGCTGGTTCACTAAAGCTGTTATTCTGTCATTCCGTTTCTCTCCTATTGCTCCCATCTTTAAAAAACATCTAAAACCCTATTCATCGTACATCCCTATGCAACTATGACTTTCTCTATTCCCCTGAAAGCAAAACTCTTCAAAAGAGCTTTCATTCCTCACTTTATCCTATTTTTCTATTCTCTGCTCATATAAAACTATTGGATATATAATAAAAATTATATACATGAGTTATAAAGAAATAATATAATCAAAACTGAAGAAATCACAGCTCCATGCAAGAGCAACATTAAGATAGCATTATCTCTGTGTCCTTTTCTGTTCTATTTCCCACCACCACCACCACCACCACCCCACCAGAAATTACCATTTCTTAAGTCTTGTGTTTAACATTCCCTTGCTTTTTTTGATATATTTTTGGGGGCGCCTGGGTGGCTCAGTTAAGCATCCAACTCTTGATCGTGGCTTAGGTCACCATCTCATAGCTTCGTGAATTTGAGCCCCACATCTGGGTCTGTGCTGACAGCACAGAGCCTGCTTGGGATTCTCTCTCTCTCTCTGTCTCTGCCCCCCCCCCCCCCAACTCACGCTGTCTCTCTCAAAATAAATAAACATTAAAATTTTTTTGATATATTTTTTCACATTTGTGGAAATGCTTAACCAATACGTTATTTATTTGCTTGTTTTTGAGTTTTGTAAAAATAGCCTCATACTATATGTAGTCTTCTGTGACTTACTTTTTTCACTCATTATTATGTTTCAAAGATTCACCTATGTTTTGCATGTAACTATCACTTGTTCATTCTCAGTGCTGCATAATATTTCATTGGGTGACCATAAAACAAATCATTCATCCATTCATCTGTTGATAGACATCTGGATTGGTCCAGCTCTTTGCTCTTATGAACAGTGCTACTATGAACATTCTTGTGTGTGTCTCCTAGTACGCATGTACACCCATCTTTCTAAGGTGTATACTTAGAAATAGAATTGCGAGTTAACGGGACATATAAACATTCAGCTTGACAGTATTATGCCAAAATGTATTCCTATCTGAAGGTTAACAATTTATATACCTTTCAGCAATTTATAAGAGATCCCATTGATCCACACCCTAATTAGTACTTGATATTGTCCCACTTTTTACTTTTTGTCATTATAGTGGATATAAAATGATATTTCGATGTGGACTTAATTATCATTTTTCTAGTCACTAATGTGGTTGAGCATTTTTTCATGTTTATTGGACATTCATGTTGCTTCTTTTGTGAAATGACTGTTAACATTTTTTGCCCATTTTTAAAATTGGGATTTGTATCAGTTTTACTGATTTGTAGGAGTTATTCAACTATTTGGATACTCATCATTTGCCAATTATACGTGTTGAATATCTTTTCTCAGTTTGTGGCTTTTTTTTTTAATGGTGTCTTTGCATGAGCAGGAATTCCTAATTTTAGTTGAACAATTGAATCTTTTGTCTCCAACCAGCACACTTTCTGTGTATCTCTCCTAACCTATGGTCGTAAAGATATTCTTTGTTTTCTTCAAATAAAAGTTTAAAAGTTTATTTTTCCTGGGGCGCCTGGGTGGCTCCGTCGGTTAAGCGTCTGACTCTTGGTTTCGGCCTAGGTTATGATCTCATGGTTTCGTGAGTTTAAGCACTGCATTGGGCTCTGTGCTGACAATACGGAGCCTGCTCGAGATTCTATTCTCTCTCTCCCCCTCTCTCTCCCTGCCCCTCCCCCACTCACACTGTCTCTGTCTCTCTCAAAATAAGTAAACAAACTTTTTTAAAAAGTTTATTTTTCCTATTTAAGTCTTTAGTCTGAATGGAATTGGTTTTTGTGTGGTAGAAGGTGATGGGGTAGGGAGTTGGTTTCATTATTTTCCACATGGATAGCCTAATGATCTGAAGTGCCACCCCTGTCATACACCAAAGTTCCATATCTGTATTGGTCTGTTTCTGGAATCTCTGTTATTGGCCAACTTTTTGTCCCTGAATTAATATGACACCACCTTAATCACTTTACACTACCTTAATAACTTTAGTTTCATGAAGAATCTTGATAATGGATACAGCAAAATCTTCCCCATCCTATTCAGGAATATCACATATTCTTGGCCCATTGTTATTTCAAACACATTTCAGAATCATCTTTTCATGTTCTATAAGAATATTAGAATTGCAATGACTCTATAGATCAGTTTGAAGGGAATTGAGTATATTTATGATGTCGAGTCTTCCTAGCTATGAACATGATATATACCCTTTCATTTTAAATAAATTCTTGAATGTTTTTTGGTATAGTTCTCTAATTTCTACATAAGGTCTTGCATATCTTGTGTCAGACTTATTCCTTGATATTAATGGTTTTGCTTTCAAGGACATCTTGTTATTTAACATGTTTTATCTCATTTGCAGGTGTATAGAAATGAAGTTGGCTTTTATATTAATATTATAGCCCTTCACCTTTCTGAACTTATATTTTTTAAGCAAACTTTTTATTTTCGAATAATTTTACAGTTACAGAAGAGTAAAAAAAAGAGATAGTATGGAGAGTTCCTGTGTACTCCTCACCATGGTATATTTGTCAAAACTAAGAAAGCCATATTGGTATACTACTATTAACTGAACTTTAGACTTTATATGGATTTATCAGTTTTCCCACTAATGTCTTTCTTCTGTTCTAGGATCCAGTTCAAAATACCATATTGAGTTTAGTTCTCTCTCTTTATTGTCCTCTGCTCTGTGACAGTTTCTCAGTCTTTCCATGTTTTTTATGCCCTTAACAGTTTTGAGGCATACTATAGAATGTCCCTAGTTTGGATTTGTCTGAAGTTTTCCTCATAATTAGCCTGGGGTTGTTTTTGGAAGGAATACCGTAGAGTTGAAGTGCCCTTTTAATCACATTATATCAGAGGTATGTGATACCCCATGACATCACTGATGTTGACCTTAATCACTTGGTTAAGGTAGTGTTTGTCCAGTTTCTCCACTGCAAAGTTGTTATTTTTCCCATTTTATTTTCTGTTCTTTAGAAGAATCTAGCCCACCCTTAAGGAGAGGGAGAGGATTTAAGCTCCACCTCTGGAAGGGGGTGGTAAATGATACATGTATACATGTATTTACATGTATCGTTTGGAATTCTTCTGTAAAAACTATTTATTTTTTCTTCTTTATTTACCTATCCATTCCCTCATTTATCCAGTCACCTGTTTGTATCAGTAAGAACTCATGCCTATTTATTTAATAGTTTGGTCACTGGGAGCTCCTTCAGGTTGGCTCCTGTGTCCCTTTGACATGCCTCCATCTTTTTTTGTTTGTTTGTTTTTTAGCACTGCCTTACTGGCTTTGGCACTACAAGATGTTCCCTACTCATCTGAAGATTTTCCTGCCTCATCCCTAGCATTGACCATTTCTCAAGGATCCCTTGTTTCTTTTAAGCTGTCTATATGTTCTTTTGTGTTTTCTATGTTGACAACAATATCAGCTACCAATAATGACATTTTTGTTTTTGCCTTTCCAATCTTTATGCCTTTAATTTATTCTTCTTGTGTTACTGAGATGGACAGGACCTCCAGTACAGTGTTCAAGAGAAAAAAAACCAGTAGTGGGCATCCTTGTCTTGTTGGGTATTTTAAAGGAAACCCCACTAACTTTTTTCCCTTTTAAGAATGCTATTTGCTGTAGATTTCTCCAGGTTTTATCAGATTAAAGCAAGTGCCCACCTGTTTCACTATGCCAAGTTTTTATTATTGTTTTTAAATCATGAAAGGGTGTTGAATTTTTTTTATCAGATACGTTTTCTAGTTTGGGGGATGATTATGGGTTTTTTTTGTCGGTAAAGTGATAGTGTGGTAAATGATGTTTATAGATTTTACCTTTGCATTTCTGCTATAAACACAACTTGTTCATGATCTTTTCCCTTTTATACAGTACTAGATTTAGTTAATATTCGTTTAGGATTTTTGTATCTGTGTCCATGAGTAAAATCGGTCTTTAATTTTCCTTTCTCATGCTGTCATAATTTGCTTTGGTCTCAAGTTCTGCTGATATCATAGAATGAGTTAGCAGTCCCCCTTTGACAATATTCTGGAAGATGCTATATGACTTGGGAATGATCTGTTTGGTAGAATCCTCTGGTAAAACTATTTTGGCCTGGTATTTTGCTTTCTACCATTGAATTAATATTAAATTTCTAAATAAAATCTTTTCAGAAATGTAAATGAGAAGCCTGAAATCTGCTTCCATGCCATGTTTATTTTATATCCGGTTTTATTCTTGAAATGGCTAAACACAAATCCTGATCAAGACTCTTTAATGATACATTCTTCAAATTCTTAACAGTCCCCATCATCAAAAATCTTTCCTTGTACAACTAAGTGCTAAAGCATTTAAAACTAATTTTTAACTTGTTCAAAAATGTTTAACAACTGAAATGATACATAACAGCTTTTTGTTGTTGTTGTTGTTCTGACAAATCTGTTGTTCAAATTTCTTGAGATAATGTGATTAGATTTCAAATCCAATTGACTTCTTTCATATTAATTATTTCAAAATAATGATGAAGCTCTTATTTTCAGAACACGCATCACTGTTAGAACCATCACCCTGCAGCTAGCTTGGACACCATTAAAAGGGCTCATCAGCTGCAAACGGATAGAAGTTTCTGTTATTCGCGAAGACACAGTTTCAGGGCTTCTACCTGGAGCTACCCACCCTCCAGAAGCCCCTGCTTGGCCTCCCTGCACCCAACCCCACACCAACCAGTCACAACTTGGGCTGTGTGTGGTGTTTCTTGGCAACTGGAACGCAGACTCCTCCAGCAGCTCCACAGGTCCCTTGTCCTCAGTGAGCAGAAGACTACAGAAGCTGGCTGCTGAAGAGGCTGTCCAAGTGAGAGAGCTCCTCCTTGGCTTTGCTTATCAGCACACTGACCACAGAGCATTAACTGAGTGCTGGATGTTATTCACTCGTGCTCCCTACCTCCAGGGACTGTAGAGGGATTTTCCAGGCCCCACTTCACAGGGGGCCACCCTGTAAGGATCTCCCTAGGAGGCTGTCCATAGAGAGAAGTGGCCTGCCTAGGGTCTCCACTGCCTTAAGTCCTACGTGGACACCTCCAGGGCTGAGGGGCTCAATAGCTTTTCACCTACCTGTAATCAGCTGGAAAATTCTGCCTCCTATTTTGTTGTTGTTGTTGTTGTTGTTGTTGTTGTTGTTGTTGTTCTTGTGTTTGTTTTTTGGTAGGAAGATTTTAATTGCTTCTTCAGTTCCTCCAGCCATTAGAGGGCTATTCAGGATTTTGTTTTCCTTCTTGAGTCCATTTTGATAAGTTATCAATTTCTAGGAATCGGTCCATTTTATCTGCATTCTCAAATTTATTGGCAAAAAGTTCTCTTTTGAAAGATTCCCTGCCGTATATAATCTGTAATCATGTCTCCTTTTTCATTGCTGATATTGGTTATTTGTGCCTTCTCCCTGTTTTTCTTAATCAATCTCACCAGAGGTTTGTCTATTTTATTAGTCTTTTCGAAGAACCAGCTTTTGGCCCTGTTGCTCCTCTCTATCGTGTCTTTGTTTTCTATTTCTTTAATTTCTGCTCTCATCTTTTTTGATCTCCTTCCCTCCACATTTTTTGGATTTATTCTGTTGTTCTTTTTCTGATTTCTTATGTTGGACATGGAGCGCATTCATTTTCAGCCTTTCTTGTTTCATAACGTGTGCATTTAAGGATAGAAATTTCCTTCCAAATACTACTTTTCTATACATTCAGACATGTCGTATTTCATTATTGTTCGATTCCCAGTACTTCAGCATTTCCATCATGGTTACTTATTTGGTGAGTTATATAGAAGTGTGTTTATAAATTTCTAAAAGTATGGGGAATTTTTAATGTAATTTTTTGTTATTGAAATCTGTCTTAATTGCATTATGGTCTGAGTATGTGGTCTGTGTCATAACAACTCTTTGAAATTTATTGAGACTTGTTTTATGGTTTAGTACATGATCAATATTTTTGAATGTTTCCTATGTGCTTTATAAGATGTATGTTCTCTAATTGTTGAACACGGAGTTTTACATATGTCTATTATCAAGTTTGTTAATTGTATTATTCAAATTTTCTATATCTACACTGAGCTTTTGGTCATGCTATGCCAGTAATTGTAAGAAGTGTGTTAATTTTCAACTATGGTGGTGGATTTGTCATCTGCTTCTCCTTATAGTTCTTTTTTAAAATTTTATATTTTTTGAGGATATTTTATTAGGAATATTCAAATGAAGAATTATTATACATTCCTGGTAAATATGTAATGACCCTCTCTATTCTCGATAATGTATTTTTTGAAGTCTATCTTATCTTACATTAACACACGCTTTTCTTCTTGTTCGGATTTGTGTGGTATACAATTTTCTATCCTGTTATTTTTCAACATTGTCATGCCCTTATACTTTATATCTCTCGAAAATGGCATATAGCTGGACCCTTTAAAAAATCGAATCTGATGTTCTCTTTTAATGGACAAGTTTACTCTGTTTGCATTTTCTATGATATGTTTGGACTTGTTTGTACTTTTTTATTTCTGTTTCCTACCACTGCCTTTTCTATGCTTCTTTTATCTCTTGCCTGTTTTCTTTAGTTTTGAGATTTATTTATTTGCTTTCTTACTCAATTTTGTCTTCTACTTTTTGGGATTTACACATTCTTTTTTTACCCACTTCTTTCTGTGGTTATTCCTGAACTTTTATCATGTGTGTGTGTAACTTATAAGGCCTAAAGTTAAATCGCATTTTCACCTCCCTCTTGAAGAATGCAGGAACCTCACACCTGGTCCATCCTCTCTTTGCCACATACTATTGCTTGATTTTTGTACTTTTTTCCTTTTTCTTTCTTTTTTTTTTTTTTTCAAACAATTTTTGTCTTTTTTTTTGCTAACCTCACAAATTACACATTGTCGTGAGTATTATTTTATATAGACAGTATTTGTTTGGATTTACATGCATACATTCTTGCATCTCAGACCATGATTCTGGGATCCTTTTCTTTTATCATAAGTACAATGTTTAGATGCTCTCTTAGTACAGGTTTCGTGGTGTTAAATTCTCCCAGGTGTTGTTAAATGCAAATGTCTGTAATTTATCCCCATGCTTAAAAGATGATTTGTTATAGGTATTTAGAAGTCTGCTGTCAGTCTAATTGCTATTTTTGGTAGGTGTTATTGTTTTCTTCTACTCTGGCCACTTTTAAGAAATTCTCTGTAGAGACAGAGAATCCCCCTCTGTCTCAGAGGGGGATGTACAGGGGGTTATGCAGTTTCAGTGTAACATGTTTAGGCATGTATTTCTTTTTTATTCTACTTTGGAAATGTGCTTCATGCTTTTGGATTCATGTTTTTTCATAATTTTAGAAAATTCTCAGTCATTATCTTTTAAAATATTGCCTTTCTTCCATTCTTTCTCTATTTTCTTTCTCAGAATCCAGTCAGTCATATTTTGGGCCTCATTATATCTTCCATATCTCATAATGTCTCATTGATATTTCCTATTTCCTTATCTTCCTGCACTTCATTCTGGGCAGTTTCTTCAGATTTATCTTTAAGTTTACTGATTCTGTCTTCAGCTATATCTGATCTGCTTAATCCATCTACTGAGTTTTTTTATTTCAATAGATGCATTTTTCATGTGTACAAACTGCATATATTTCACTTTCTAATCTGCCTGGTCATCCCTCATAGTCTCTTTTTGCTTGCTTATCTTTGTGGCTGCATCTGTTATTTTGAAAAACATCTTATATACATTTTTTGTTCAACCAACAATCACTGTTGGCATAAGTATGACATTGTAATTACTGTCCACATCCAAACCACATAGTGCACTCTGATTATACATCCTTTGTTGTTTTCCTAGTAATTGTCTGTTTTTTTCTTTTGCCTAATGTTATAATACCTATTACTAATTCTTTGAAATTCCTTTTAAATCCATATCAGATCATGTCTCTCTGTTCAAAGTTCTCCTGTGGCTCTCAGCTCCCTCAGAATAAAACTTGAAGCCCTCACCATGGCCCAAAAGTCTACAAAATCTGGTCCCCATCCTCTTTCTGACCTCATATCCTATTAATCTTACAATTACTCTTTTCCAGCACCCTGGTCTCCATGTTCCTCAAACATGTCAAGTACCCTCTCCTTTCAGAGCCTTTGTATCTGCTGTTCTCAACTGCCTGGAACACTCTTCTTTCCAGATAATCTCGTGAGTTTCCCACCCACTTCCAGTGTGCTTAAATGTCACCTCCCTAGAGAAGCATTCCCTGACTAGCACGTACAAACTAGTCCTGTTCACCAGTGTTTTCTAACTCTACTTGATGTCTTATGTTTTTGTACAAAACACTGACCACCACCTGATATATTTTATACTTATTTATTGTGATTAATGTTTCCCTCTTCTCAGTAGACTGTAAGCTCCATAAAGCAGGGCTTTGTTTTGTTCACTGTTGTATCCCCAGTGCCAAGAATAACAGTGCATAGTAATATTTAGTAGATACTCAATAAATATTTATGGAATAAACTGTATTAATTAATGTGGATGATAGAGAAATGCATTGAGAACTAGGCTAGGCATGAAGGCCTTTCATGGCATGCCAAAGAGCATGGATGTCATTGTTCAGAAGGGTGAGGGCTGTGAAGAATCAGTGAAGATAGCTCCTGGGTTCTTTCGAGAAGCAAGTTCACAGTTGGTAGGGTGGCGACAAAGACCCATGTTCTCTGTGACTGGCTCTGGGCCCTGGGGCTCCTAAAAGTGGACCTGCCTCTTTTTTTTATGTTTACTTACTTATTTATTTATTTTTATTTATTAAAAAAATTTTTTTAACGTTTATTCAGTTTTGACAGACAGAGTGTGAGCAGGGGAGGGGGCAGAGAGTGGGAGACACAGAATCTGAAGCAGGATCCAGGCTCTGAGCTGTCAGTGCAGAGTCCAACATGGGGCTCAAACCCACCAACTGTGAGATCATCACCTGAGCCAAAGTCAGACACTTAACCGACTGAGCCACCCAGGTGCCCCAGACCTGTCTCTTTTTCAAACAGCCCTCAAACTGCTGTGTGGTCATGCCCGCCTCTTGGTAAAAAACAAAGCCTCAGCTTTCACTGGGCCTTCTGATCCCAGCTAGAATCCCCCTTTTTCCTGCTGTGTAACTGTTTCTTGGTCCCAGACCAAGAAAATCACCTCCATTGGATTTCTTCTGGGTTGGAGGTGGTACAGAAGCTGGTACAAAGCCTGGCACCTAGTAAGTACTGTTATAATGGTGGACTACATGGGGAGGTAAGTTTCAGCTCAAAAAAACCTTTTCTCCATTGTCAAGGCTGCAATTGGTTATGAGGTTTTAGTCCTGACTTTTCCCCTAAACTCCTTGGGGACCACTGTGGCTCCAGTGTATCTACTTGCCAAGAGTGTTGGGATACTAATTCTGTTGTCTAATGTGCAACCTAGTCCCTTAGTTTTTTGTCACCCACTGATTTCATCAAAATGCCATCATTATACACAGGGCCCTACAGCACTCCACTAGAGATTTCCCTCCCCAGACCAACATGAATTCGTTAATTATAACCAGTGGAACCATCTAACTAGTTACAAATTTAGTTGAGCAAAACTGAATTACCGCCTACTCTGTGTCAGGCATCCTGCTCTGCACTGAGGACCCAGAGATGAACAAGGTGTGTTCCCAGGCACAGAACCATAATTCAGTATGGCCAGTACAGTGGATACAACAGACTGTGGGAGCCTCTGAGGAACACAGAACCCAGGACAGGGAACCAGGGAAAATTCCTTAGAAGAGATGGCATATGAACTGAGCTTTTTTTTTTTTTTAATTTTTTTAATGTTTATTTATTTTTTGAGAGAGAGATTGACAGAGTGTGAGCAGGTGAGGGGCAGAGAGAGAGAGAAAGACACAGAATCTGAAGCAGGCTCTAGGCTCTGAGCTGTCAGCACAGAGCCTGACATGGGGCTCGAACCCACAAACCGTGAGATCATGACTTGAGCTGAAGTAGGACGCTCAACCGACTGAGCCACCCAGGCGCCCCTGAACTGAGCTTTAAAAGATGAGTAGGGATCTTCTGGATGACTAACAAGGGGAGAGGAGGTCAGTTCAGGCAAAGGGTACAGCATGAGCAAAGGCCAAAAGATAGGAAGCAGAATGATGTGTACTGACCTGCCTAACTACCCTTACTATTCACCTGTCTTCCTATGAGATCGTCCTAAGATAATCTAGCACCAAAACCCAGATATGAGGAGTTTGTGGGCCCCCCCACCCGACGACATGCCAATGTGTTCAAACTCTTAAGAAAAGTAATGAAAAGTTGGTCAGACCTGACTGTCCATGAGCTCATCCACACCAGTTTCCAACATTCCTGGCTTCCTTATCTAGACCATGATGTTCATGTGACCTGCTTCCCTTGGACCTCCCTGGGGCAGGGATCATTCCCACTCTCCTGGAGATGACAGAGTCTCCTCAGCCCTATGTGTGGGGATCTCCTTGTGGAGAGGAGCTTTTCTGACTCCTGACACCAGCCATGATGTAGAGACCCTCATCTCACCAGGAGTCTTGTCTTCAGGCATTGTGATTCATCTTTTCTCGGGCTTCATTCACCCCTGCAATAATCTAGGACAAGTGGGTTGTGGAGTCTGGCAGGCCCAGTTTCAAATCCTGGAACCCCCATGTCTTGGTTGTGTGACTTAACCGATCCTCTTTAAGCATCAGTTCCCTCATCCGTAAAATGAGTCTAATGCCAACCTTGGACAGTTTTTGTGGGTGTTAGAACATATGTCAAGTACTTGGCCCTTGGCCGCCATTTATTGAACATCTACTACCATCAACAATAAAGGGAGAAGAACAGAGTGATTAAGAACATGAGCTGTAGATCCAGAACCACCTCAGTTTGGGTCACTGCTCAACTACTTACTAGCATTTTGACCTTGGTCAAGTTTCCTAATTTTTTTTAGCCTTAGTTTTTACATTTGTAAAATGAGGTTAATGTCCCTGCTTCAGAGCTGTTGCCTGTATGTATTATTCTAGCAGTGTATAATATGCTTTCACAGGCTCCAGGCCTGTCCCCAGCCTGGCCTCTTCAAAGACCCCATCTCCAAGAGATTTACCTCTTTCTCAGCCTCCCCTTCTCTCCAGGGATGACAAAGAGGACTGAGCTTCCCTGTGAGAGTCATGGGGACACTTTGTTATGGGACTTTCTAATGATAAACTGCTCTTGCATTTCTGGAATTAGACCCAACACTTTCATGTTATATTAAATCTTTTTTTTTTTTTTACTCATCTTGGATTTGGTTTGCTAATAAATTGCTTAGGATTTTTGCATCTTTGGTCACCTACTGCATTTGTCTGATTAAGGTTATAGTGGGCTCATCTAATAAATAAATGAATTTTCTAGAAATTGGTCCCAATTCACGTAAGTTATAAAATTCATTCTATTCTCTTATTTTTTGATTTCTGCTCTTTTACATTGCTCGTATTACTTATTTGTGCCTTTTCTCTTTTTTTCTTGATTGGTCCCTCCAAAAGTTTTGTTAGTGGTTTGTCTTAAAATTTTACTATACATATTTAATCTGAAGTCTAAAGTTAAACATAATCATAATTCCCCACCCAAACAGTACAAAAACTTAATAAAGCATTGTTGCCCAAGTCACATGTTCTTGTTGTTCACTATTTTAGTTCTTTCTTTTCTAAGGAAGTCATTCAATACACAAAGAATAGACACAAATAATATTATTTTATGCAGACAGTGCTTGTTTACATTTGAATACTCATTTATTATTTTATTTGCTCAGCTTCCTTCTTTGGGGGGATGGGTTTTCATCTTCTTGAAATAGATGCTTTAGAAGATCCTTGAGTGCAAATCTCCTCGAAGTAAACTGTCTCCAACTGCATTTATCTGTAAATGCCTTTATTTTACTTTATTCTTCTTGAAAGATAGGGTTGTTGAGTACTCAATTCTAAATTACACTTTTTTTCTCTAAACACTTAGGAGATATTACAGCACTGTCTTCTGGTTTCCATTACTGCTGTGGAGAAGTCTGATGTTGTCTAATTGTTTTTTGGTTTTTTTGTGTGTCCTTTTTCTCTGGCTGCTTTGAAGATCCTTCTTTGATTATTGCTTGACTCTAAGGGCTTTTGTTGTTGTTCTCTGAATGTTCCTTTTTTTATGAATGGAAAAAATTCCATTTCTTTTCCTAGGAAATTATTAAGATAGAGGACGGTTATTGACCTCTGTACATTTGACTGACTTATAAGCCATCTTATTAATATACTCATTTTAATGCATTTTTCATATCAGAACCTTTTGGGGTTCCTGGGCATGAAATTATATCAGCAGCAAATAGGTTTTTATCTCTGCTTTTCCAGTGTTATACCAGTTACCTGATTGTTTTGTCCTACTATTCTTTTATAACTTCCGAGACAACATTGACGATTATGGTAGTAGCAGGTAGTCCTGTTTTGTTCCTGATGGAATGTTCATTCAACATTTGCAGAGAGGCAGTGTTCTGGGGTCTAAGAATACCTAGGGAATGCATGTTGCTTTTTATAGCTTCCTCATCTTGCTTCCTGAATATGCAAAATTTTTTCATGTCACACTAAATCTTCCATCCTCAGTCCTAGTTTTTGTTTCCACATATGTATGTTTGGGTGTCAGTGACAATGGGAAACTCTCCCCGATGTCAGATTTGGCCAGAGACACCACAGATACCAAAGACGTGACATATTCTGAAGTCTTAAAGTTTGTACAGATAGTAGGGGTGGGAAGGTGGGGAGGGGCCCTCTGCTAGAGTACAAGTACGGAACAGTGCCATGGTTCTGTCACTCGACAGCATAGTAGTGCAGTGGATTCTGGAGCCAGAATGCCTGGACTCAAATTCCAGATCTGTCATTGCATAGCTGGGCAAGTCATTTAACTTCTTTTTTTTTTTTTCTAAAATGTTTATTTATTTTTGAGAGAGAGAGAGTGCGCGTGCAAGTTGGGGAGGAGCAAGAGAGGGGGACAGAGGGTCTGAAGCAGGCTCTGCACTGACGGAGGTGAACCTGATGCTGGGCTCGAGCTCACGAACTCTGAGATCATGACCTGAGCCGAAATCGGACGCTCAACTGACTGAGCCATCCAGGCGCCCTAAGTCACTTAACTTCTATATTTTTTAGTTTTGTCTGTAAAAATGGTGATAATAATAGTACCTATTTCATATGGTGATTGAGGGTATTAAGTTAATTTAGAATAGTGTCTGGCACATAGTAAGCACTCTATATGTGTTTGCTATTATTACCATTATTACTTTTGTGCATGAAGGGATGGAAAGGAGAAGAGTTTCTGCAGTGCAACAAGAAAAGTGCAGAGTGTATCCTGTCCTGTGTGTTCTCCCAATATCTTGGAAACAAAAGTGATTCACAAAAAAACACAAAGTCAGATATCTGAAGTAGTTATTTGGGCCCCTTAGGGTGTGGGATATCAAGTTCATTAGGTAGAACGGGATAGGATTCTTCAGCAGTGTTTAAGGGTGGACCCCTCTTGAGAGGTGACCTGTATTTGA